TCAGGTGAAAAATTAGAAAACCCAAGTAAGCTGCAGCCAACAGGATTGACAGAGACAAAGACTTCCCCTTGAGCATAACCCTTCCTTTGCCCTGCGATGAAAATGACTCAGCTTCTTGTCAGGGTGGGAAGATTTTTAGGAGCATCATCCAGTGAGGCTGTGGATGAGCTGAGTTCAGCTCAGCTTCTGCCTGTCTCCTCTTTTTGTTTGATATCTATGTTATCTTTGCATGCGGCACAGTACTAGTGATCAAAGTGGTTGTGATTTCTACAAAAATACTGGCAAAGATGATACAAGTAGAGCAATAATACATTTCCTTTGGACTATGAACATAACTAGTATTTTGATGATCTTCTGCCCTTCTCAGGTTATCTTGCCCCCTTTCTTTGAAGCAGTGTTTTCAGTGGACTTAGATCAGCAGCGGACAGGGAAAAGGTGGAGTCTTTGAATAGCAAAAGTCTCAAAAGGTTCCGTCCCATTATTTTGCCCAAACATAAAATTGAAAACAATACAACTGGGCTTACTTACCTTTAGAGGGTGTTTGCAGTCATTTATTTATCAAACAATACTGCCTCCTATGTTCTGGGTATTCTACTAGTTTCTGCAGTTTCAGCAACACATGCCACCTCCAGAGGAATTAAACAATTAACAAATTAACGAGTAATATATTATTGATCAGATGGTACTATATTCTATAGAAAAAAATAAGACAGGGAAAAGGAATGGGGAAGTGTTGGTGTGGTCATTTATATTGAATGGTCAAAGAAAGATTCCCTGATAATGTGATATTTGAGCTAAAACTTTCAGGAAATATGGGAGTGAGCCATGTGGATATATGACAGGAACAAGAATTCTGGAGTGAATAGCAAAAGCAAAAGTCCTGAGATGGCAGCATGCGTGCTGTGTTGAAGGAAGATCAAAGACACCTGTGTGATGGAGTGGAAGGGTTGAGCAGGAGAGTGGTTGGAGTTGAGGACAGAGGTTCATGAGGCAGAGGTTCATCATGTACTCCCTTGCAGACCACTAGACTCTGAGCTAAAGCCAATTGGGACTTCT